TTTCATTGAGGTGACCTGTTTTCAGTCTCATTGATTTAAATTGCAATCATAAAAATGACATATTTTCCTATTGTTGAGCAGCAAGAAAAATCTATATTAGTTATGGGGAAATAATAATAGTTGATATCCTTCTAACATACAATCAATGAAGAAATTTATGCACAACAGTAATCCATATATTCGGAATATATGATTTAAAAGAATCACACACAAGATAAGAAATATCTGACCAACAAGCAAAGGGAAGAACAGTAGTAGCAATGCTTTAAAAGTTAATTTTTACTTATTGGTTGGCAAAAAGTTAATTTTACAATTGGAATACAATAAAAGTCAGATAACATTTCTTGATAATAAAAAAAAAATAAGAAAAGTTTTAAAATTTTTTCAATAAAAGATAAAAGCATAATAACAGTGATACATCGCAAAAGCAATTATAACTAATTCTAGGATCACAATTAATAATTAAAAGATTAGCATCTTGTTTTAAATGGTATGATTTTTTTTTATCCTTATACTATAATCCAAACAATTCAACTACTAAATTAACAGTTAAATGGTGCATTCATAATAATTTAGTGAAAAACAAAAATATGATTGTCGTTTTTATTAAAACCATAAGATATGTATAATAACAATAATTTTTGCATGGCACAGTTCAAATAATTTGAAATATATTATCTTAGTTTACAATAATTCAATTCAATTCTACAATTAGAAATAGAAATTTGTTAAAATATTGATTTCCACAGTCAAAATTATAGAGCAAATACTTTATCTTTCTATCACAACAAATGACTAGCTCAGCCATAATCTCTAGGCAAAGTAATATATTAAAACAATAAAACTTAAAATCTGAAAAATTAATATTTTGTATATGATAAGAAATGAATATTTTAGTCCTTTGAGATAACGAAGAAAATAATTCATAAATTTAAAGCGCCCCACATACATATTTCCTAAATATTAATCTTTTTCCACCAAAGAAAGTACTGTAAAATTTATCAATATTTATAACTGCAAGAGAATTGTTATTAAGATAGGAAAAAAATTAAGATACACAGTTAAAAAGAAATCCTTTAATAATTGTAAATTATTTAATAGAAGAAAAAATTATTTACTTGCAAACGTTCTGAAACTGTATTTAAGAAAATAGCCTTCTTAAAATTTTGCATAACACTTTCAATAAAATTTTCTAGAAAAATTTAAAAGGATCTAAATTATACTGACAAGATTTATAACCCTGAATAATGATAAATAATTTTTTAATTAAGTATTATCATTGATTAATATTTTGAACTGTTTTGAAAAATTATGTCAAGTTTACAGATTTATGAAACCTTGTCTGATTAATTTTTATACACTTATATAATGTAAAGTGTAAAATAGAAAATAGCAGGGATTTAAGTAAGTAAAATAATCTTTTTTTTTTAACTATTTAAAAATTGATAAGATGGGCACATAATTTGGTAGGTATACATGAAAAGTTGAAACTATTTTTTATAATATAAAAAAAGTTAAATTTAGAAAGAAATTTTAATTTTTTGAAAATTAAATAGCTTAAAATAATATTACAAACATGTTAGTATACAAAAGAATACAATTTGAATTCAAAAATGATAATTTCTTAAAATTTTATCAGTTTAAAACAAATAAAAAATTACAAGTACTTTTAATGAATAAAGTACACAAATTTTATATTAAAAAAAGAAAATTTTATGAATAAAAAATAACAAGAAATATAGAATCGAGGAATTAATTGCGAAAATCTATAAAGTTTTTATAAAGAGTGCGCCAAAATCCTTTTTACTAACATAATAAGATTTTAGATGTCAATTGCATATCTATGGGAAAATTTAAGAAAACTACTAGAAAAGATTTTACTTTCATTATTCAACATTGTGTCAATTCAACAAAATCATAGTCTTAAATTTCGATCTTCGAAAAGAAAGAAAAAAGGAGATGACAACAGATATAAAAGAGAGCAAAATTGAATGCTAAAATAATATATTCAGACAATACATATTTACCATTTTTTATTAAATAATTGTTTATAAATAAATATTTTGTTCAAATTAAATGTAAGAAAATAACAATATTCTAAATTCTTTTAATAATGTAAAACAAACATTTTGTCAAGAATATAACAACTTTTGGCACCTTTATTATAACAGGCAAAAGTTATACATCATAATTTAAAGTGATAAAAATAATTATATCCAAAAAAGAACTTAATGGTATCATGTAAAAAAAGGAAAAAAAAGAGAGAGAGCCTTAATTTTAGTTATTAAATGATAAAAGTGAATAAAACTCAATAAATTCGCAAATCCCAAATTCAATATATGATTAATTATAGTGTAGACTACATAATTTGGCATTATGTACCAGCTGAAAAGTGCCAAGTAATTGAAATATCTAAGAACTGTACAATTAATTTAAAGTACACAGTCAATAATCCATAATTTGACACTTTATGACACAGCTGAGCCAGATTATTGGGAATACTTAATTAGAAAAAGACAACAAAATATGAAATTGGGAACGGCACAGGCCAGGTCAGTCTAATTTGAAAAGATAAAAACCAATTTAAATTTTTTCTGTATACTTGAGATACTAACAAGGTAAAAATTACTTGAGTATTCAATACAATAGTAGTATACCAAAAATTTTAATTTGAATAACTTTAATTATAGTTTAAATACTTTCAAAGCTCACAAGTGATAAATAATTTAAGTGATAATATTTTATCTTAAATTGAGTTGTTTTTTTTGTATAACATAATGAATTCTTCAACTTATTCCTTTTAAAATTTAAATGAAAAAGGCAATTAACATTATATATATTCATGCATGGAATCATATAAAGGACTAAATTAAGGATTATTTGTAAGCAAAATAGTTAAAACTAAAGTTTAAAAACATATAACATGCTATTTTGAAAATTGTCCTTAAAATATGCAATATGAAAATATTGTAAAGATAATTTTTTAGATAGAAGGACGATTTTTCCCCCCTGGAATCTTATACTATTTGAAGTTAGAAACTGATTTAATGGAATGAACTTTAAAGTTTATGATAGTTTTTTTCTTCCTAATTTTAAGACATTGTGTCTTGTAGTATACATATAACTATATATATTTCACATAAATTCCTATGTCATTTTTATATTGATAAAATTTTGCATTTTTGTTTCTGAGTTGCATATTTTTTTTTTTAGGTTTTTAAATGGCATTTATTATATTTTAGAAAAATTTCAAAAAGTTAATTTTAGGTGCATTAACCATCTGATAGATAAACCACATTGAATCAACAACTACCCTCTAGAAAATTTCCCTGTGTTATTAGATGAGTAAATGATGGACAGGAGCATTGTCAGAAACCTGCCCATTTGTAAAAGCACTAGAAGATTAAAAAAAAATAACAAAAATTATCAAATATGCAATACAAATGGTGCAAACATCAAGGATAAAAGAGAAAAGCTTACTGTTGAAAGAATGTGTATATCTATAAACTGTAATTAGACAACACTTTTTTTCCCATTAATTCCGTAAAATCATATTTCCAACTAGGTATGAATTTCTACTGCAATAAAATAACAGAATTTAATATCTTTACTTTCAAATTATACTTTTGAATAGATCTATTTACTGCAAGTTTATATTAATTGTGCACTGTAAAAAAAAAACAATAAAAAGAGCTATTTTACAGCTGCATGTTATGATTTATATTAATGGAAAGCTATTAGATTTTCTGTTGGAGCAATTCTTTTTTAAATCGGAACAGAAAATTTAAGGAACACCAGAAAAAGAGATTAGGTGTGCTAAGAAATACTTTCAATAAAAGAAAAACAAGCATTTATTATTAAAAAATAAAAATAAATTGCAAATATCAGTAACACCTTGGTCTGTAGAGTTTGTATTAGGAATTTTAAAAATCAAACTAGTTTTGATAAGTTGATATTAAAGAGTAGTAAGATTAAAAACTGTATTTTTAAAGCAAAAAAGCAGGTAATACATATTTTTACACTGTTTAAGTTATTAGTCGGTGTAAAAGAACATTTTAAAGTCATTAATTGTATGAAACAAAGAATGAAAGCTGATTTTGCATTTTTCTAATAAAGGAAAAAAATTGATACAAAAAAAAATGAAACAAACTTGCGTGTTAAGAGCCTTATTATCCAATAATAATGGATCAAATTTGACAGCCAAACTTGATTTACTTGAATGAGGACAAGTTAAATGTAACTTTTCAAATTTGTATTGCACATGAGTAATATCTAGCTGAAAAGCTAAAATTAATTTTCTATACAAGTAAGGAAGCGAGAAAATAATTCAACTGCTTTAAAATCTGTAGGATACAGAACAAAGAAAAAAAGGAAGAAAATGGTTAAATTGAAAGCAAAGAGGATAACTTAAGTACAGTTCTCTCTAAAAGACACAATAGGGTACCTCAGGATGAAGGACTATTTTTATGCAAAATATTTTAATTATTTCCTTGAAAATAAAAAACTATTAAACGTTTCAGTTTCAAAATGTCTAGTCCTTTTCATATCTGTACTTGTAATTTTAACATAGATCATTTAGTAAAGATTAGAAGAATTTAATAGCAAACAAGCGAACACAACCGCATATAAACGTTCATGCAATTAAAAAATTGTTATGGATGAAGTATAAGGTAAAAACATTCAGGATTCAGTAGGAGTGCACAACCTGTTGCCCGCCCACTGTTGATGTGAGGCTCGCAGGAACTGTTGAACACAGCAAAAATTTTTTAATGAAAAATATATAAAAAATTTCGAAAATTTCAATCGCACATTTGAGTTAGTAAATCGTCCGCTTTTTCAACGGTTATCGCTACAAAATTCTGCATGGTTTTAAAAAGCCCAATATTTTTAATATAATATTAAAATGCATGAATTTCAAATTAAAGTAATTACTTTTTTACTAGTTTTATTCTTATCCATTTCATAGTAAATTCAATTAACATTTTGATCCTTTTTTTTTCCCATTATTTATAATTTCCATGTGGTTAGTAAAATCCCAATATAATTTATTATGACTCGTGAGTTTCAAATTGCACATTTCAATGACCACTTTTCGACATGTTTTACTTGTGCCGATTTCATTATAAATCTAAATTATTACTTGATTTTTTCTCTCTTTGTAAAGGCTTGCTATGCTTCTATGCGATTTTAAAAGTCATGTATTTTTACTGCAATATCATTACGATAGGCAAGTTTCAAATTGCACATATAAGTAATCACTTTCTGATGCACTTTGCTTCATCCTTTATTTCATTTCAAGTCCAAATTATTTTTAATTATTTTTTTCAGCAGTTTTTGTTATCCATTCTCATGCGGTTACAAAAAATTGTAATTTTTATTACAACATGCAAATTTTAAATCATGCATTAAAATAATTACTCACTGATGCAATTTATTCATGCAGATTTCATTATAAATGTAAGTTTTTTTTTGCAATTATTGTGATGTTTTTTCATGTGATTTTGATGATCCTGTTATTTTAACATCCATGTTATTACAACATTTGAGTTTCCAATCCCGAATTTAAATAGTCACTTTTTGATACCATATATTTGTGCATATTTCAATTGAAATATAAGTCATTTTTTGTCGTTTTTTCAGCAGTCAGCTCCATGTATTTGGACGTGGTATTTAAAATCCTGATATTCTAATACTTAATTTTTTTTAATGAAATTTAAGGTATTGTTTCTAAAAAAACCTTTATATGCAAAGAAAATATGAATTGTATATAACATATTAAAAGTAATTTGAAAGGAGTGAATTGATATTGAACTATTCATATTTATTTCATAATTTATAATGCACCTATATTTCATGATCAACAATGTTTGTTCGACTTTATTACCAGCCTACAAGTCGGCCTCCTGATTTTTGTAAAATTTAGTGAGTTTAAAAAGTCATCTTATAAATTGGGATACACGGTAACCAATATTAGTTAAATAACCAATATTTTTAATGACACATAATTATGTTTTGCAAATTAAAAGAGCAAAAAAAGTAACATTCATTACTTAATTACAAATAAATTCCTGTTTAATAAAAAGTAAATAACATTTTTCTCTCAATTTCAACAAAAATTGTTCTGAAGGAACTTTTTTTAAATAGTTCTACTCCAAACGAATTGTTTTGCGTGTGCTTAGATTAATTTTGAGCTTTATCTGCTCTAGAGTGCAATACTACTTCCAATGCAAACATATCCATATTTACTTCCATCAGTAAGGCTCTAAACACTCAAAGTTTTAATGATCATTGATTGTTTATGTCCATAATGAAATTAATAAGATAAAATTTACCAAAATAAATTTTAAAAAACTTTAAAAAAAAAAACAGATATATTGATTTGTTTCATTTGAAATATTTTAAGATCACAAATTAAGATTTACACTAAGAAATAAAGATTTTCTTTGATTGGAATGTTATTTAAATACTCTCCCTGCCCACAAAAAAATGTGTTTTTTTTTTTGTTGTTTTGTTTATAAGTAGCTATATAAGAATAAAATTATAAAATATATAATAAAAATTATACTTGCATAAAGAAACATAATAATGCCCTTAATCCTCCAAGCATTGAGCTCCTGGGTAAAATTGCACAGAAATTTCCCTGCTATGCACTACTCTTCCTTTAAATAACATCTGGGGAACCGGTTTTTTGATGTAGGAAAGCATGCAGCTAGAGGTTCGGAAAAAGCCAGGACTAATGCTCAGAGGGTTAAATATCAATCAATGAAAATTTCCTGTTAAATATTTATTAAATCGGAAAACTCAATTTATCATACACTGAATTGAATTAGGAATTGAAAAGTTGACAGAGATGTGAAAACAATCCTACAAAAGTCCGTGGTTGGGGGGGAGAAAAATACGTTTAAAAATTGAGGAATACAATACATTGAACAAAATTATAATTGATAAAAATGAAGTAGACATATTTAAATGTAAATTTTGTGAAAACACTTCAAAGTGATAATTTTATAACAATAAAAAAACTTACACCCCCAAAAAAGTAAGAATAAATGCAAAGGAAATGAATAACATAGATATGATGATATAAAATTTTTTTTAACAAGTTCAGTTAACAAGTGATGATATCACAAAACCATGCACTAACACAGAAATTAAATGAGCAAATAGAAATATTTTAAAAACTTAATTTTGGACACATAACACTACAACAAAAGAGTGGGAAATGACATGCCTAATTTACATATGAAAATTTCAGTTTTCACCTGATTAAGGCATGAATTTGTACAAATTGACTTAATGTACACAATGTTTAGAGGCTGTTTGCTTTTTTTTTCTTCTTTTTTTTGCTCACATTACATAGTAATATGTTACAAAATGCAGCCATTTAGAATCCCCCTGTTTTGTCTTACACTATAAGTGATCACATGATCTACAACTTTACAGATATGTACACATGCCATAACTTGGCAGTTGGCATTTATATATGTTTCAATTTACACTAACGATCACACGTCGCGAGCGACTTCGATGCACTCGCGACACTCTGCCTCGTCTCCTATGAGACAAGGAAATGTGTTTGTTTTTTCTTAAAACGGATGAAAATGAAACGTCATCAGATTGTGTTCTTTCAAAATGTAATGAGAAATGTTTACTCCTCACAATGAAGAAGCTCGTAACACTATGAACCTTCCAGATGAAATGTGTCCTCTGCTGAAGGGTCACTCGATACAGGTATATCAGCATCATTCAGCAGCTGAAGTCCATCAAAGTCTAGATTTCCAAGGTGCAAGTTGTTCCTCAGAGCATCCTCTGATGTGAAATAGTCTGATTCAAATGAACTGCACATGTTGGATATTGCACATCCCAGTTCTTTAGCAAAGTCTTGCCTGGGGATGGTGTCATCTCCTGCAGGAGCTATAAAAATGATAAATACATAAAGATATTTATTTATTTTCCATTATTATTGCCTACTTTTAAGAACATTATTTCACAAAGTATATCTATGTCAATCAGGTTATGAGAGAAACAGTGAAATAACCCATAAAAATGAAAATTTTGTTTCATTAAGTATGTAAAATTTTAAAACTACATTTACAAAGATCTATGAATTCTGTCATACATTTCAGGAAGAAAAAAATTTTTAGCAAAGAAAATAATAAAAATAATTAATAGTCAATTATAAATTATCATACAGTTAAGTTTTTTTTTTAAATAATTTTATCACATAATAATTGTGTACATTAGATAGATAAAATACTCGATTGAAAATCCCTGGAAACATTAAAATTGTAAACAATTGAAAAAATAATGCACTGACATGCATGATAGCTTCATTAAGGGGACTTTGCCATGCAGTCAAGTGCAAACGCAATTTCTGAAGGTTGACCAAATTTCAGTCCCTCAAGCACATGAAATATCAAAGCACAGAATATCTAAGCAAATTTACAAGTAAACACAAACTAAAAAGATGATAATCACAGATTTGAGTAGTGAATAATTTCAAAATCAATTGGGATGAAATTCACAAGTCAATATTTAAGGAATAAGTACAACAAATTAAAGATGAAGAAAGGCAATTGAAAGTCCCAAGATTGGTAAGAGAGGAAAAATAATTAAAAATTGGAAAAAGCAAGTCAATCAATTGAACAAACAAACACCCAATTATACTTCAAAATGGATCTTAAATGCCAGGGTTGCCGTACCATAGCTAAAAGCTAAGCATTACTTTACCCCAGGTGGCCATCCTCTATTAAACAAACCTGTGCAAAAATTCAATCGGGATGCCATTTCTTAATACGAGTTTATGTAGAAGTCTGCAGTTATTTAAAACAAGTACTTAACTATAGCAAATATAATATTAATTTAAAACAAACAGATGCGCAAAAGTCATCTATAAAATTAGCTGATTTGAAAAACTTTTAAACCTTTTTTTTTTCAATAAAGATATTAAAAGCAATTGATACAGTTAATAAAATGAAAATATGAAATAAGCAAATTTCTACATTTTTAAATTTACAATCAGTTATGGTATATTTTGAGAAGAATAACCTCATAGCTTGAAACCTATTTTGGAATATAGCAAAACTAAAAATTCTTATACACTGTAAAGAAATAAAAGTGTTAACAGTTTTAAAAGAAAAAAAAATCTAGCGATGTTATTTATCTTTTAAACTTTAAACATTCTTAAAACTCAAATTAATATATTAAATCTCTAATTTATTCATCTTTTAATTTCGATATTACTTTTGCTTAATATAATATATAATCTACATAAAAAAAATATTTTGAAAGTTAATAAACTAAGAAAAAAGAAAAAAAATTTTATTATAAATCGAGAAAGAAAAAAAAAACGCTAAACAAAAGATTGATGGAATAAAAACTTTAAAATTACACTTTAATGACAAATTTTGCAAAATATAAACAAATATTCGACATTTATGGAGTAAAAAAAGTTTTAATTGCAAGAATAAAAAAAAATTTATAAATTTTAAAAAACTATAATAACATAAGTATAAATTTATTTTAGTGTAAAATAAATTGTGGTCTATCTATAAATGCTGAAGTGAACATATTTCAAAAATTATTATTCATAGTATTTATCTGAAATTTTGAACATTATTGCTTAATGTACTTGTTGACATGAAAGTAAAAATTGAATCCTAAGGCAGAGTATACAGTAAAAAACATTAACAATAAATTTATTGTTAACAATAATTAATATTATTACAACTGAAATAAAGACAATAAATGTATAATTATTTGGTATTCAAACAGTTATATCCAGCCTTAAAGTAGAATAAAAAGAATAAAATGTTACGCTAATATGTTGACCAAATAACAAGTTTGAATTCCAAATAATAAAAAAAACTTTCACATTATTTGATACTTTCTAATTTAAAAATTATCTTTCAAACTTAATATGAACAAGCATGATTTTTAAACTATTTAAATTTTTTTTAATAAGTTTAAGTATTTACTTTAAGAATAAATTTTATGCAACCCAGTATAAGCAATTATAATAATAAATATAAAATAAGTAACCTAAAGTTTCAAACAATAAAATAAATTAACTATTTGCGCTATAAGTTATTCAGTGACCAAACATTCAATGAAAATTTTAAAAAAATAGCTTGTAGGTGAAGTTGCAATGGTAAACAAGATAAACTATTTGGCTTACATTTTATCCAATAAAATCGCATTATTATCGCAACTAAATCTGCATTATAGTTAAGATTGACAAATATTTGAAGCTTGACAGTTTTAACTGTCATGTCAAAAAACCATTTTTGACAAAGCATTTGAAAATTGTAGCAAACATAAAATTTTAATGTATGAAATAATTATTAGCTATTATAAATATAAAAGAATTATTTTAAAAAAGTATTTATTGGCATGTGATTAAACATGTTCTTCATATGTTTTGACATTGAACCCTTTTAAATTTTGCATGTAGTGAAAATCCAAAATTTTCTGAGGTTGTGGTAAAATTAGATAATTATAAATAAAATTATGCAAAATTGCAATTTATCCAATCTGGTAATAATCTTGCTCATTGTGTTTAAAATTAATTTCTATTTTACTTCCATTCTAATTATTCCTTTCCCTGAAGTAGGTGAAAAATACTAGTTTTGAAGCCCTCTTCAGTTATGAATGAATTAAGAGAAAATTTTAAAATACATTCTTTTGATTAATACTCAGCTGCATGGGTTAGAAAGTAAACATATGAAAACTGTTATAACATTTTAAGATAAACTTGCATTAAAAAATTTATTCTAGTAAATGTACTAAAAACAGGTGATAACTTAATGATTGATTGAAAAAATTAATGAATTATTTAAAAAAACATTAATTTATTTTTAGTTATAATTAGTTTACTAATCAGGAAATATATTATAATCATGATTCGTAATCACATAAGCAACAACGAATATTGTGAATTAAATAGATCAGACAATTATTGGCGACCACTTTGGCTTTACATTTTTTTACTTATTTAAATTTCTTACACAACTCCACATGCCCCACAAAGTATGATATGAAGTATATAGATGTAAGTGGGCAAAGTAAAATTATAAAAAAAAAATAAAATATAAAAAAACAGCCTTCACTTTTTTACTTGAATAGAAATTACAATAAAATATAATATGTTCTACAGTACCACAAGAATAAAAATTATAATTTACTAAATTAAACCTAAACAACTAGATGTTAAAATTTTTATGTCCTTTTACGAATCTGAGTTTAAAAAATTTCCTACAATCCACTGCCAACAAATAGATGGAAAAAATCTTTTAGTTCACACAGCTTGTGGTGAAGCTAAGAATTCGTACTCGTACATAATTCAACAAGGCCCTTAACACCCATAATCTAATTTATAATAAATAATATAATATTTGTTTTCAGCTTGATAATATATATACTAAAACTATTATTACAATATTTTAAAAGTATTCTATAAGAAAAAACCAGCTTTCATTCTTCAAGTTGTGCTTACATTTTTTGAGTCAACCGCTGACTTTCTGCAGTATTAGACCCGAATCAATTTTACTCATATTTTGGTTATACATGTAACAATTTGAAATTAACAGAACAAAAAGAAAATAGAATGCCTATTAACCTTATCTGCAGAATACCAGTACAAGATAGAATTAGCGTGTTTAGCATATAATAATCAACTTATGGATTAAATCAGGAGTTGGCAACATTCTATCTGTGGGTGGGTTGGGATACATTTATTACCTCACTTACTCTTCGGCTCTACAGTCAATTAATGACCGTCTTTACCACAGAGCTCTACTTTTTCTTATCCTTGGCCTTTATCTTCTAATTTTTGATTTTCATCTTTGTTAAATCAACATATCTGATCTACCTATCTTTTTCTGGGATGTCAGACCTTTCCCTCTAGTCTTCTCAAGATTTTCTTTGCTACTCTTTAATCACTCAATTCCTCTAGATGTCCCAGCCACTGTGTTCTTTTTCTTTTTATTATATTTAGTATAGCTTTTTTCTTTATAAAACTTACTTAACTCTAAATTACACCAAATTCTACACTTGTCTTCATCTTTGATTGGATGCTATATTTTCCTTAGAATCATTTTTTCAAAAGGTAATATGTATTTTTCTTCATTCTGACTGGTAGTCCAAGTTTCCTGCAGCATATGTGCAAATAGATCTAACTACTGTTTTCTACAATTTTAGTTTCAACTTTCTTGAGAGTAGAAAGAATTTAAACAACTGAAGCATTGAAAAGTAATATCTGTTTTCAGTTGCCATTCTAACGTTTACTTCTGGGTTCAATTCACTTTTTTTTTGTGATAATTGAACCAAGATATTAAAATATCATTTATTACCCACAACTTATTTATTGAACTGCTTCAATGAAAAAATTAATTATTTTTTATTGTTATTCTTACAAATTCATAGTTAAATAATTTAAGTTTTTGTCAAGTCTAAGAATAGGTAGTATATATTAGTAGAATTCAGTACAATGTCTGCAGTTGCAATATAAAAGCCAGCTTTTCAATAACCACTCTCACATCCATCATTGAAGTGCCTAAAAGATGCGTGTTATATTCTTGGAAGTACCTTTCCAGTTCCTCCATTATAATAAATGACTTATGGAGAAAAAGATTCTGAGAATTGAACTCTTTCTATGTACTCTATAACTCAGGAACTGCACAAAGTTTTACATTTATTTTACAAGAACATTAAATCGTTTAATCTTAGCCTGAAAAAACTTTTCTATAAATGTGTTATTTCTAGGAAGTTTTTCTCTCCCTTACAATGTTTTAGATTCGAAAATTAGGATGAATCTCGTAAAAGAAGCTAAAAATTGTTGCTTAGTTAATAAAAATTTTTTATTAACAAAGTCCCTCAGATTATGCAGGTCACAGAATGCTGAATGAAAGGATTAGCTAATTGACAAGCTAAATCTTAAAATTTTATTTGCATAATTAGAAATATTTGAATTACTATTTAAATTGATTAATAAAAAATGCATCACTTTATAATAATTAAACTGTTGACATGTTTCAAGTGCACAAGCATGCTCCTTGTCAGAACAAAAAATGAAAATGAACAAGCAGATACAGTTTTTGTTCTGATCAGAAACAAGTTTGCAATCCCATCTTGTGGTTCAGTAAAAACATGTTGGCAGAGTTTAAAATTTTTATGGAACGATAATTATTTTTTTAACAAAAGTAATTTCACTGCTTTTCTTAAAAAAATATTTTGCTCATAAGAGTAAATAGGTATTTAAAAATGTTTCGATGAGGAAAACAGACATTATTAAGTCAAAGAACGTAAGCAGTTCATAATTTGATTAAACTAAAAAAAAATGTATTTGATAAAGTAACTGTGTTTTTTTATTAATTTACATTTATCAAAATTTGAAAGGTTTTAAAAACAGAATTATAATTTATACAATTGAAAAAATATAATAACAAATTTATTGCATCATCTAAAAAAAATAAATGTCTAATTATTTCTTATCTATAAACAGGGGGGAAATTAATATTTTTGTTGCAAAAAAAAACACCAAATTGAAAAATAAAATAAAAAAGGATGTGATATAAATGATGATTTGCATGCAGAATATGATAGCAGCCAATGTGAGCACCTGTTAAAAATCATAATATACTAGCATCTTAAATAAGAACACAACACATTAAGACAATGTATTCGTAAGTAGCTACAAAGCATTAATTGTTGCAGCAAATCCACAAACACATACAACAGCTGCATAACCAGAAGGATAGGTATAAAAACTACATTGAGATCAGACGGTATCATTAATTATCATGAAAAAGGCAGAGCATCAAGCTAGTTGACAGGAACTATGCATCTGAATGTCACTGAACAATCTGTCAAACTAAGAAGCGGGTTAATGTTTGCTCTTTCTAGATATCTACATGTGCATTTCATTTAAATTATTTCTCTTGTTTGCTTTAAATGGATTATAAAATTCACTCACAAACATCATGTCTTCCTTGAATTTCATAGCCTGCATCACTTGAAAGTTCGCCTGAAAAGCAATTCATTAAAAAAAAGCTTTTGGCATAGTTCATTTTTCTGCCTAGTAATTAAATCAATTAACCACCCACTTTAACCATAAAATAGATTCACAAAATAAACTCAAATTTTGTTTCTTTGAAACAAAATTGTTTGAAATATTTAGATTTTCGATACAAAAACAGTAACCATTGGTTATATTGTGCAAACAAATAAGCAACTTTTCTTTAAAAAAAAAATTTTTTTTTTTTTAATTAAAAAAACATGTATTGATAACTTTCTATTTTTCCTAATTCCATAAATACAATTTTTTGAAACAGGAACAAGAAATTATTAGCATCAATACATGCCTTTGATTCCTTGTAGTTTTAAGCGCAAAAATCCTCATCTTATCTAATCCTATGAAACAGAAGAAGAAACACCTCCTTAGAAGCACAATTACTGCTAATTTTCTATTATTTATGTCATTTTAAAGGACAAGCATTTTTTTTTCTACACAAATGGCAAATCAGCTAAAGCAATTTTAAAGACAGTGTGACAGTTTCAGCAAATTCGTGTCCCACCAGCTTCTTACCATGACCTTGAAAAAGCATTGAACTACATTATTCACCGATTTTGCTGGATTAGAATTCTTTGAAGTCGTATTAGATCAACCTTATGCCTGCTAGGATCCCCCAAAAAATAAGTCATCTTCTAAGAAGACCCCTTCTTTAAATGCACTACAGTCTAATACATGCCAAGAATATCTCAATAAGCTTCTTCTAACTGACTCTTATGAGATAGAATGGTCCACCAACAATTGACATAAGGTTTGTCTTTACACAATCATCCATTTTGTGCAAAGTCTTCCTCTTAGCTGATATTCTGAACATACGCAAAGGTGACTTTTTTAAGAAGGTTTGAGTTCTCACAATTAAAAATATGCCTAAGCCATCTGATAGGATAAGATATGCAACATTAGGCTATAGTCTCAAGCAATATTAAGTTTTTATTTTCATAGACTTCATGATTAAACAAAATTCTACATCTGTCATGTTTTCTAAGTGGGGAAAGATATTGTTTAAGTTTGATAAAATGCAGATTGGCATTTTAAACCTGGGAAAGAAGACATTGTGGTCCCACATTGTGACATGGGAACACAAAAATTGCTGCAGCCTGGACTGAAATGCATCAACTTAACTTGGATAATCTAGGTAAACAAAAAATTTTTAATCTTTAAATTGATGTCAATATTATAGAGAAAAAAAACACTACTTGCACTTAAAAAAAAAAAAGAAGAAGAAGAAGAAAGGAAAATTAATTTTTGGGATTGCCATTGCAATAAGTTATCTAAACAATAAATAGCAATTGTTTCTTAGATAATGATGATTATATAAAAACCACTGAGCATCACGAATGATTGAAAATAAAGGTTAGTTAAAAATAACAAACTGAACTAAGTTGTCTTACTATAGTTATGAAATCTATTCTTTTATTTTTCTATCTACATTATATTGTATATTCAGATAAATGCTTATTTCTACAGCCCCTAATAAGCACAATATAATAAAAGATTACTGAATTTAAAACCATTCAAAGCAATATATTTATAATCATTTGCCAGAGTATATACAATTAAGAATCAAGTCTGATCCTTTTTCTAGAATGTCAGACAGCAAAAAAAGAATTTTTAAATACTAAAAGAAATAATTTCTAGGTTAAAATTAAGAGTAATTTCTACAATAAGAAATAAATATATCAATGTATTTCTCATTATATGAATAGATAATCATTTACCTTCTCATAGAAAAATTGAACTAACGATTTTGCAATCACTGTTTCATTTAATTTTAAGAACAATAAAAAATTCAATGCAACAAATAAAATCTAAATACTTATGAAGTATTTCCTTCAAAACATTCCAACCTATCTCAATTTTTTTTTTCTTTTACATTGTAATTAATATCATTTAGAAAACTTTCACCTTACAAGATGCAAAACAATTGAAAAAATACTTTTAACAAATAAAAACTATGAGGATAGGAAAATTGGTGGAACTTACAACAAATAAAATGTAAATTAATAGTTTAAAAAATTTGTAAATTCAACACAAAGAAAACAAGCAAGTTGTAACAACAATACAATATGGTATTAAAAGCCGTTCGTTAATAACAATTTCTAAAATTCCTTAAAAAAGTATAAATATTTATAAATAACATAATTTGTTTTAGTTCTTTTTTCATCAGAATATTAGAAAAAAAGCTTTTAACGATAATAATCAAAAATTAACATTGGAGAATGAAATCGCAATGATAAAGCTATTTGAAATATCATTTTCCTCTAATAATATAATAAGTACATGAAAGGTTTTACAAACTATAAAACTTATTTTTATATGTTTTAAGCGCTAAAAACTTAATTCATTTAATATCAAGCAGAAATTTTATAAAATTATGAATGAAAAAAGAGAATAATAAAGGAATTATTACATGGTTGGTCACTTGTTTTACACTTATTTTCAGAAATAAGTTTTATGAACATTGAAAATAATCATTAAAATTATTCATAATACCCTAATTAAAATAATTCATAAAATAATATACATTATATATCGTACAAAAAATAAGCAAATCACACATCAAAATGGAATACAAGTTTACATAATCATATGTTTCCAATACTTACGGTATGATAAAATTTTTAAAAATATTTTCCAAGAAAAGAAAAAAAATATGAAAAATATAATTTCTAAATTTTACTTAACTATAGCTGTTTTTATGCAAAATCAGAAGTTTCAAACTGAAAATTAGAAAATGATGACAAAATTATAAGATTTTCATCCTAATTATACATTTTTTTCTCTTAAAAATATTTCAACAATTTGTATGAAATTTTAATATATTGATCAGTTTTTGATGACATTTCAAAATGCAAGAAGTTGGGAGAAAATGAAGTAATTACCTGTTAAAATTATATCTGGTATACTTGTTGGAGTTTGAGGGGTTTGTGGCGTCGTCTGATGACTTGATATAACACTAGATTTGGTATAAAGGGTTGGGGACTGTAGATGAGGATCTGAGCCAAGAGAAGTTATTGAATAAAGCATAGCATTGTCCATATCCTGTGAAGAATTCATGCCAGGTGAAAGTTGACTTGTATATTGAATACCACTCTGGTTCAAAAGAGTTATTTCCCCATCTGACGGGGGACCAATACCTCCACCACTATCTACAGTTGCTAAAAACATAGCTGTGTTGTTATGGGACCCAACGTTGCTCGAATTCGAACTATTATCTGCCATCTGAAATGGAAATACAGACAGAAAACTTAATATTTATTATTGAGATAAAGAATGAAATATACAGAGTCATATAGAGAGAGTAAACCAATAGAGAAAGTTTGATGACTCAATGCATTATCGGAAGTATAAAATACATTAACAGAGGTCCATCAAGAATTGGTTTTTCAGGGTGCTGTTTCAAAATTGCGTAAAAAATATTGTGAAATATTCTAAGAAAAAGTTAAAAATAGAATTCAAATTTCTGAAAAAGAAGCATGGAATTTTGATAAAATTATTTTTTGAGAAAAACTATAGTTCTATTTCTATGAAATATTTTTGTCAAAATCACATTTATGACGTTCCATGCTTAATTTGAAGAAAATTCACTAAGAGTTTCCTGATTATCCAAAGAAATAATTAAGATATATCTACACATTAATACTCCTACAAATTTAACTCTTCGATTTCAAAATTTTCTCATTGTTTTAAAGAATTTCAAACAAAAAACTTAATTATTCATCCACAAATCTTTAAAAAAATTATAAACTTTCATTTTAAGATCAAAAAGTAAATCAAATTCCTTGCTTAAATAACAGAATCTTAAAAAATTATTCTAATATTGAAGCAAATAAATTTTTAAAAATTTTTAGTATTGTGAAAGAAAATTACAATTTTGTTGCAAGAGGTTTCAGTAAAAAATTATATTTTTTTAGAAAAAATAAAACTTCTTTAAAAAGAAAAAATGTCCCAAAAATTTCAATTTTTTTAAATTTAAAAAGTTTAAATTTTTCCATGTTTTTAATAAAAATTTTAATTTTTCAAAATAATTCTGATTTTTTAAGCAAATTTGAAATCTATTAAATTTTCAAGATTCTTCCAGAGGTATATGAACCCTGTTTATATTAAACAGTATAAACTTTTAAGGATCAAAAATCTAAAACACACTAATCCGTATATTATCAGCTGACAAAAAGATCTCAACACATTATTCTTTAGAAAGTTTTTCTTTTCCATTTAAACACATTTTTGTCAATAATTCAAAATTCATGCCCTTAAAAAGTACTTAAGTTGTAACAATGTAAACAAAATGGAATATTAATTAAACATTATGAAAAAACTTTTAAAACTGGCAAAATGTCACAAAAAGAGAATAATGGTTGATATTTTGAAATGTCTTGAATTATTCTGCTTTGCTAATTTTTATGCTTGTGTTGAATACTTTAAAATACAATCTAGAACTTCCAACTGGCGGCCCGGGGGCAGTATCCAGCCCGCGCAGTCTTTTTTTGTGGCCCGCAAAATAAAATATATTAGTTGTTATTTTTTTGCAGACAATTTTTTTAATAAATCTTATGTGGCTCTAAAATACTTTTCTCATTAATAAAAACCTAATTTTTTCTTTTCTGTAAAATTTAATAAATCAAAAGCGCAAAAAAATTTTTTTCACAGGTTTTGCCTCCAAGAAAATATTTATTCAAATACAAAAATATGGTTGTTGCTCTTTTTTATTTCATTTTTTTGAATTTTGTGAATATAATTTAGCATGTGCGTATCAGAAATTTTCTCGAAGAAATTCTTCAATTTAACTTTTTGAAACCACTCATTTTGGACGAAAACATTTACACACACATTTGTAAATTTTAAATATAAATATCTATTCTCTGGTGGTTGCAGCAGACAAACCTCCATTTTCTCATTGAACATTTTGTGTGCTACTAGGTAAGTTTTAATACCAACCTTTTTAAAGTTTTATATCTTAACAGTTAGATATCTGTTGCACATTAAATGTTTAATACATAGGTGCACATAAAAGTTATTGTAGCGCGAATTTTTATTATTTATTTAATATTTTTAAAAATATTAATAACAATTAAATATTTTAAAAATCTACTTCTTATTTTAATTTGTAATTCAATATTTTTGTTTTATACAACTTTGTAAAAATCTGACAGTAATATTTAATGTTCCTTCAAGCATAAAAAGAGTCCTACATAAAATTTAGATAAAGTTGCGGCCCACCATTTGATTTGATTTGTGTTTTTAATTGTGGCCCCCAGCCTCATGTAAATTGGAAACAGCTGATCTAGAAGTTTAAGTTAACAATTAGTATGAATTCTTGCATGTTAAATACTGCTGTCAGCAAAATGATGTTATGTTAGTTATAACAGATTATTTTTACATTTCATAACTAATTATGGGTGAATATGCTTTAAGTATTGGTTTAAAAAAAAAACACTTATTTTGACATGTATCAACAGTATTTAATTCAACTAACAAAAATTCGGATAATTAGATTTTTTTTAAAAAAAATGCTTACTTTAAATAATTACTGTATGTATAGTGGAAATGAGGGGAAAAAATGTTTTTAAGGATTTCAAGGATTCTTAAGGATTTCAACAATTCTTCTGTGGGATGAATTGGTGCATTATCAACATTTAAAAGCACAGGACTTCCAACTGATTTTTGGCGTTTTTTCACTTCAGGAATGAAAATTTCGTCCTACCACTCTGTAAACAGTGCTGCAGTCATTCAAGCTTTGTATTGGTTTTCATAAAATAGAGGAAGTTTTTGACATTTTCAAATGCTCTAGGGCGTTTTGACTTCCCTATTAACAGAAGGGGTATTTCATGGCTCCCAGTTGAGTTCGGGCAGTTAAGCACAGTAACGACGTCTTTACTAGCTTTATGTCCTGGAGCACTAGGAGGCTTTGGCACTGCACTCTCTTTTAGAGGCTAAAGTGTTTTTGGGTAAATCTTTCCATAGACCAGTCTCATCGGCGTTGTATAAGAAGTCGGAATCGTAAGAGGCTGCTATAGCTTTAAACTTTTCAATAAACTCGTCAGAAGCTTTGGAGTCTGCAGATAACTTTTCACCACTTAAATCTAGTTCACAAATACCGTGCCTAGACTTAAAATTCCTTAGCCAGCCGTTACTTGCTTTGAAAGATAAATAACCCAGCTTTTCAGCTAAGATCTTACCTTATCCACAAATCTTTGTCCTATCCTGTAAACTTTCTCTGCATAAATCTTTCCTTGGCTTTACTAAAATTTTATTTTATTCATATAAAAAAAGAAAAAAAAAGAGAAACTCATCTTTTCACTATATTTTCATATTTCCATAGGAATTCTGAAAGCGATTCGGATAATCGGCGATTCGGATAGTTGGAGTTCGGATAACTGGAGTTCTACTGTATCTACTTAATTTCATTACAACTATTTATGTTTAGTTCAACATGTTAAAAAATCTTTTTATCACAATTTAAACATATCTTCAAAACAAAAAATCATTTCTAACATCAATTTTTCTATGAACTTAATTTCTAACTGTTCCTACAAATAGCAAGATATTAATTCCCAATTGAAATGATATTAAGAAAATTCAATAGATAAACAAATGTACATATTCATTATTTAGAGCAATAAATTAAAAACAATAAATGCCATGTCCTGACAAGAAAAACTTAAAATAACAAGCATGCAAAAACAGCAAGAATGACATTTACTAAAAAAATATCAATATAGAAATTGTAAAAGATAGAAAAATTCTTTTAGACATGCTAAAAACAAATAATTAAAACTCAAAATAACATGCAAAAAATGTGAATTCTTGTGAAAATCATGTAAGGCAACAGAACCTGTTTTCCTTTACCTAACAAATGATCGAAGAATTTTGAATTACATACATGACAAACTCTGAAATTGCAGAGTTAGCAACAGGGTGTTGTATCACTGCCAGATCGTCTAATTTCCAGGGAAGGTAGAGACTGTCATAAAGCATTGAACTCTATGACTGGAAATGCCATCATACACCGCTAGGGGTGCTTTGCTATTATGAATTGTTTCTACACGTGCCTTTGAATGGGTATTTTTATTTATCTAAACTTTATGTTTTATAATAATTGTTGTCAAAAGTTGTGTTTGAATTGGATCGGTATTAGATTTTTAATTGCAATTTAATGATTTGGCAATTAATTTGCAAAGTTCACAAAATCATTAAATTACAAAACAGCTGTTTTGGTGTCCATTTGAATGCAATTTTCGACAATGATTATTAGGAAACATAAAATTAAGATAAGTTTGATAAATAAAAATACCTGTTCAAATATTGAAACAATTGATAACATGGAAGCCTCACTAGTGGAATAGAATAACATTTCCTGTAATGACTTCCTATGCAATTCTAAATCCTCATGATGTGTCCTGGAAGTTAGTCTGGTAGTGATACATTCTGTGTAAAACTGATCCAATATGAAGAGAGTATAATCGAGCCGTATAAATAGAGCATGTTGGCTCAATAAAGATTTTATAATAACCATATTTAGATTAAAACGAAAAATGTCAATAAAGCACAGAAATGGACATACTACAGTTTTGGTTCTCGAAATAAGACTCTTACTCAGTGTCTAAATACCAAATTGATTTGGTTTTAAAATATTAAAGAAGGTTCTTGCTTAGAGAACCAAAACTATAGTATGTCCATTTCTGTACTTTATACAGTGTTTTTCACTTACTTTAGTCTACATAGCACAATGCATACCTTAATTAAAAATTAGATTAATTAGAAACATTATTTTGATCAGTGGGATTGTATAAGTCTCATGTAATTGAAATGTACATGGAGTTAATAGAGAGTCGATATAAATATTTTAAACAGTTGAGGCAAAGTTTCCTTTTTAACCAAGATATGGCTAACCATGCTTTGTTAAGTAGGAATTAGTTCGAAATGTAAGACCGGAACAAAACATTTTGTGTTAAACTTTTAATTGATGAAACACCAAACATATTACAGTGAGGAAAAGTAAACTTAGTTGCTAAGGGTTAATTTCAAAAGAAAAATACCTAAATAATTTGCTAAATGATAAAACTTGTAAATGCAAAGAATACAAATTGCGATTTTTAAACACAAAATTTTGAGATAAAATTGTATAATTAAAATTCATTTCTCCCCCACCTGTAAAAAAATTAAAGCTACAAGTATTTATCTTTAAAACTGCAACAGAACATTACTAAAACACTGACATTTGTTTAAGTTACATTATATTATTTTAATAATGAAACTATAAAACAAAATAATTAAAATAATAAACATATAATAAAAATATGCATTCATGAATCATAAACAAAAAGAACATCTATTTAAAGTAAATAGTATTAAGATTAAAGTCAAAAGTTAGCTAGACAAAAGAAATATTAGTAGAAAATAAAATAAGAATCAGAAAAACAAGTGGGTTTAAATAGGGAAAAGAATAATTTTAGTCAATAAAAACAAACATGCATTCAAAGATTAGTAAAAACAAACATTCAAAAACAATGCTGGGACATTCAAAAACCAAGGAAAGAGTTTAGAATCAACAGTGACAAGAAGAATCAACAAACAGCTAGTAATTTATTATCAGTGGCTTTTATGAAGTAATATTTTACATTAAAAATTTCTCCTCAATTATAACAGAATATTCCTGGAAGAACAGATTAAGTTTAATATTGAACAACTAAATAAGCCTTGACAAAATTAAATATAAAATCAAATGATTAAGGGAACTAATACTTCATTCAAATTCTAAATAAAAATAAACAAAATAATGAATTGCACCTAAAATTTTTTTTAAAAAAATATAACAAAAATAAAACTATTGATTTAATACAACCAACTTCGTAGATGTTTCTAAAATAACTAATCAGTTGATATAAATTTTTATGGCATACTACATAAAATTAGTAAGGTTTAAATCTTAAATCTGAAGAAATTAACTAGGTTTCATATTTTAATTTAAAAATTCTATTTTAATTTTCATTATGTTCACGAACAATTCAAATGGAATTATTATATTAATTTAATTTTATAAAGAATAAAATGAACAAAAATAGTAACTTTAGAAAAATTGCAAAACAAAGGAGATTTTGATATCATATGTAGTAATATCATGTCCTAAAAAGTTATTAATTCTTTGTTAAACCATTTGCATGATTATTTCATATCAGGATTTTTTTATCATAGAAAAAGTTTAAAACTTTTTTGGATACAACTCATGTTCACATTTTTAATTTTTCTTAAATTATTCATCATCATTCCAATTAACCATTAACACTTGAAAGAAACATTGATTTGTTAATTAAAATAATTTTAGACAGCTATACTGTTTTCAAAAGAAGCTCACACAGTCGCAGAGTCCCTACCACTTTGGTGGGAGCTAAAAAATTCCTTTACTTTATTATAGAACTATGTAGTCAGTACTAAATTAAATTGTTTTTGAACAAACTTTGAAAGAAATACAATAATCTCACAAAAGCATACTTTTAAGCAGGGAAAAAAAAAACCTTCTTTATGCACTGATATTTTAAGGTTACATTTTTACGCAAATACTCAGTAATTCATCTATATAAAGTTTATTTCAAAGCCAGAACTTTTTATTCTCCTGACATTTGATAAATTGACAAATTTTTGGTTGTCAAAGTTCTTAAAACTTTCTTTTCTTTTCTAGTCTTACTTCTTAAACAGCCGGTATTATTTTCAACACGTCACATATTACAAGAAATACTTTTGTATACTTTTATTCTTATTTTGAAAATTACTAGATTGATCAGCAATTTGATTACTACAAAAAAAATTTTTTAAGAATTATTTCTTTTATTAAATAAGCTAGACATCAGTCTTCTCCAAAATTCACTAAGCTTTACCATCTTATTTAAACATGAATTTTTCAATAGATTTGTTGATACATAAAATTATGAAAGAAATATATTTTTGAAGATTAATAAATTAAAAATTAATACAATTTATAACATATTTTTCTGTCTTTTTGGGAGATATTTATGGTTTTTTTCGGGCGAGAATGTATCATAAAAGTTAACATAGGTCGTTAATTAATTTAATGGCCATCCCAAAAATGTGAAGATATTTGCATAACATATTTAAAAAAAGCACTCAGTTGTCTTTTTATTTAGAATAGAGACTACCTTAAGAAAATAAAAATTTCTAACACTAATATCTCATAAAATTTTGAACTCATTTCAATAACGCTATTTTTTTTTTTTTAAATAAATAAATTCATTCTAATATTTAACTAAGAAACCATAAAATTCATCTAAGCTTTAAAAAAATGGGGTAGAACAGTGCTTTTAAAATAATAAAACCATACAACAGAATATTTTTATCAGTTTATCATTTTCTAAGATATTTTAATAAAAAATATTCCTTTTCACCTTTAGAGTCAGCCAGAATACAGAACTGTTAGTATAAAAATAATAAGAAATGCACAAAAATAACGTAATAAATATATAAGTTAACTAATAATTAAATAACTAAAAAAATTATAATAAATATGCCTTAAACATAAAAACTAGATCCTTTTTTTTTGTTCAATTAATTGTCTCCACTGAAAGTATAAATAGCTGTTTGATTCCAGTCACTGCAAAGCAAATAGTTTAGAGGTAGAGAGAAGTTACCATGAAGATGCATTCACACAGTTGTAGGTCACCCACCATCTTGAATTGTTCAAGTTGATGCTGCAATGCGTTTGTTTGCTGGTGTTGCTGGACATAATAGTTAGAATCTGGATAGGAATTATTACTCAATGTTGTATTAGACCCAAGACCAGGTGAACTAGAAGGTGAAAGACTATGAGAAGCAGGAGATGTTGGAGCACTACACGAATGATCTGCAGGACTGGCACTTCGATATGAGCCCATGGACATCTGTGGAAGAAATTAGATAGACAAAAATTTTATAATTGCATAAAAATGAGTAATTGCATAATTGTGTAATTGCATAAAAATGTAAAAACAACTATAAATTCAAAGACTGATACTGTAGTTCAGTGGTGCTAAATTTTATAAAGGAGAGCTCATAAAAAAATTGCTTTTGGTGACCACAATGAATTTTTTTTAAATAATAATTGGAATTATTTCTTAATGTAATTAAGAACAATATCAATTTGTATTAAAATTAAAAATGACCAAAGAATATTACTTTTGAATTAAAAAAGCCTTTTGATTTTTGTACACTTGGTCTCTTTCAGACAAAAATTAAATTTATAACAGTTTTTAAACTTCCTTGCAGATAAAATTAATTGCACATTTATTTTTAAATGTTATAAGCTACTCACATCTTTAACTTTTAATAAAAACTTGCATGTTAAGGTAAAAAAAAAAATTCTGAAAAAAATTTAATGTACAGGTCAGAAGTAAATTTTTTCGTAGCTATATTAGGGAATTTCGATGTTATAATTTCATTATGAGTTAAATTTTTATTAAAATTAATTTCAATAACAGTCTCATAATTTCTTATGCTAGTTATTTAGTTTTTTTTAATTATTAATATTTGGTTGGAATACCATTTAAGTATCATAGATTGTGCACCACCTAGGTGTAAGTAACAATTAACCCTTTAGTACCCTAAAACTGGGTAAAGAAATGTAATGTGCTATTCCCTTAAGTAAAATTTTAGAGGAAGGTTAATATTAGGCTAGAAAAATTTATAAGTTATAAAACAAATAATACATACACACTACATCAATTTGAAATTTTGTTCTAAATCTTTTTTATTGGTAAAATACAATTATTGTGTAAAATACAACAATCACTGAAAGCTTTAAATTATTTTGGACCCCCTGCCATTCTTTCCTAAATCATTACACTAATTTTTCGATTAATAAATTAAGTTGGTCTTGTACCACTATCAATCAATCCTCTTTGCACCAGCTGGTAAATAAGGCCTCAAGCCTCTCTTTTTTCTAGGTTTTACTTTACACAGATCTTGGTGTGTGTATCGTTGCCAAGTAAGTTTTGGCCCTCCTTTTTTAATCTTTTCTATCGGAAGTCCAAGTAAGTGCAATGTTGGCAGCTCTACTCGTTTTAAACATAGGGTATGCCCAGTTCTATTGCATCTTCTATTCAAAAATTTTAATGAATGGGCAAAAATTTAGTCTTTCTCAGAAGATCTTTATTTGAAATAGTGCAATGTAGTGTAGTGTAAGATCTTTAAAATGTTATAAATTTACAGTTTAAATTTGGAATAGCATAAATCTCTTTAAATGCTAAATGGAGAAAATAAAAGGGAAAATCTCAAATTTCAAAAAAATAAGCAATTACTGAACAATAGGGTAAAAAAATTTCAGTTAAGGTAAATAAAATTGAAGCTAGCATAAAGTACAGACAGGGAAAAGGTAAGCGGAGTAGTAAATTTATATTTTATATATTTTAAATTAATAAATATAGACACAAAAAAAGAGACAAAGAATGAAAAATAAAGAAAAAATTACAAAGAAATATTAAGAATTTGCAATTAAGTTTTATCATTTGCGCACAAGTTGCAAGTAAATAGAAGGCATAATATAAGACAAAAATACTAAAAAAAAACAAGGAAAAAAAAATAGAAAAAAATTATAAAATTTATAAAAAATTTTAAAAATTAATAAAGGTTAGAAAATAAAATGATGAAAAGATATAGTCTTGTCATCAGCTCAAACAACTATATCTGCAAAAATAGTATTTTCAAATATTGAATTTAAAAAAAACAAAGCAAAATATAACAATAAATTGTGAGAAGCACAAAAAAAACATACGAATAAAAATAAATAATAATAAAAATGAAAGAGAGAAGCTGATTCTGAAATAAAACATTATGAAGCAAAGATCAATAAATTTAAGAAAAACACAAAATAAAACACAAATAGGAAACACAACGAGAAGTGAGAGTGGACATCATCATGTATTTACAAACATCTTGCAAAAATGATTTTATTTTCGTAGCTAAGCAGCCACATTACAAAATATGAAATTAAAGCATAAATAGAGGACAGTGGGATATATTTTTAAAGTACAATCTTATTGAAGTTATTTGTCTGTTACCTTGGCCCGAAAACAGGATTTGGGCAAGTTAAATTATACTGGATAACTCAAAGTTTATAATTTATAAAGTCGAAAATTTTATTAGTACAACAGCTGAATTCAGTGATTTTTATAAAAATTATTAACATTTATTGAAAAGCATTAATTGAATATTGGAGGAAGCTGTTTGTTAGATATAAAATTTTTTTAGCCATGATTTGCACACATCTGATTTAAACAAGTTAAAACAATCTATTTAGGTAACCAAAGGATTTAATGAAAATATATTCATTTATTAGTTTTAAAACACAATTAACTCATTGATTTTGTATAGAACTTAATTACATTTGTTGGATATCCATTGTTATTAATGAGATTATGTAAAAGTATGTCAATTTTTTTTATGGATTAATTGTATATGTATGCACACATATATACAGTGAAACCTTCAAGAAGGACCACATCTATGTAGCGACTTCCTCTATTTACGATCACTTTTGGGAAGCACAAAATTTTTTCCATAGATTTTTTATTAAAGAAAACCTTTAGGACCATCAAATGGGGAAAAAATCAAATAAAAAAACAAAATATATTAACAAAACAAATAAGTAGATTTAAATGAACTCAAAATATTTGTGTGATGCTCTTAAAAAAGTTATTTTAGAAAAAAAACTAAGCATCTCTAACAAACAAAGCTTTTCTCATTTTTGGAAGCGAACTAATTTTTTTTTATATAAGATTAAATGCAGGCAGACTTACACAAAAAACATTATTTTTAATTTATTTAAAATCGTTCTATCATTCATAATTGGTAAATTTGTCTTTACACTTAATTACATTAGTTGGGATCATTTGTACTAACACTAAATTTTATTTATCAATTCGGTTTTCATGATTCCAACACAAGTGGCAATTTCACACAAGAAAATGACACTGATTAAAATTAAAAATTGTTTGCAAAGAATCATGTACGTTTGATAACATGTTTAATTCAATGGAGGTAACTCCTAAGAACGACCAACCTCCACTAACGACCATTTTAAAGTGGAACAGAGAGTGGTAGCGTGCAAGAGGTTTCACTATATATATATATATCACTGATAGTAATCTCAATAATTCACAACGTANACTAGGCCTGGGCAATATACCGTAATACCGTCATTTACCGGTATTTCTTTGATACCGCGGTAATGATATTCGGAAGTATATTCTTCGGCAATACCGAGTTATTGAACGTCGGTATGCCTGCACCTCCCGGTACTCACCGCTAGCCAATATCTTCGGCCGACCGGCGGCGAGGAAGTGGCGGTATGGAATGGTATCTAGGAGGTATTGGTATGGCACGTGCTTGATTTAGGGGTGAAGAACTCAAAGGCTTGGGCTTAATATTTACGGTACCTCCTCTCGGCAGCTAGAAATTTCTCCTACAATATATTGTGGTATCATTTGACTTTAAAGCGCATGCGTCATATCCGTGGTATTGGCGATATCGGATTTCAAACACCCGCGCGTTATATCAACCCTCCATGGTATACTTAGTTACTGATTTTGGTTTCATTTGATTTTGGTTTCATTTTGAGAATAGCGTGCTTCTGGATTTTAAAAATATCCGAGATTGTCGACGTTGCTTTTGGATCTCCTGTGAAAAACGAATAATACAGAGGAAATAAAAATAATCAAGGTATGTATCTATTATTTTCAATAAATATTTTATGCATAAATAAATATTTAATTATGCAATTTCTTTTCTATAGATGTTTTGAGAAATGTTTCAAAGTTCAGCAATTTTAATTAAAAAATTGTTTTTTTATTTGTTTTGTATTAAATTTAAATTATCTCATTTATTTATTTATTACTGAACAGAAAAAATACTTTCGATTAGAAAAAATGGGGATTTCCGTATTGTGATCTGTGGCTGAATAATAAGTAACAAGAATTTGAACCCCCGGGCAAAACCTCTTCGTTTATTTTATTTTATCATTTATTATTATTTATTTATTTTTTAATTTGAAAAACTTAAAATCTATTTCGCCCCTTTTCGAATGAAGTGGCGCGACAGATCACGATGCGGAAATATTCCCCCAAAATGCATTTCTGTTGATGCTTTGTGGAAATTAAAAATTTTCACAATTTGAATTGAAAAAAATTTTTCAGATAGAAATGGTTAAGTAGTTAAATTTGAAATAGCATTTTAAAAAAAAAATCGTTTCTATTTTAGCGATTTAAATTTCTTACATTTTTATCGATATTTTAAAGAATTCAAGAAAATGCCGGAGTTTTATTGAAAAATAATGCTTGAATTTTAGCAATTTTAAAAAACTTTGCACTTGGAGTTTCTTTGAATTTTAGAAAATCAAATGCATATGTATCGATGTTTTGCGAGAATTTATAGAATTCCGCAGTTTTAAATTTAAAAAAAATATATTTAAATAATATTTTAGTATTTAAAATGGCAAAAAACTGCCGTGATTTTAGCGATTGAAATTTTTTTTATTTTTATCGATGTTTTGAAGAATTTTAGAAAATGCCGCAGTTTTATTTGAAACGGTATTAAAATTATAATATTTTTGTACTTAAATTTAAAATAGCCTACATTTAAAAATAACGCTTGAAATTTAGCAATGATTTGCGGCAATTTATAGTTTAAAAAATTTTACGTTTAAGAAAAAATGTCTTGCTGACAAAAGTTTAGAATTTAAATATTAAATAGCGTCTTTTGAAAAAATTGCTTTGATTTTAACGATTTGAAATCCTTTATTCATTTTCATCTATGTTATGAAGAATTCTAGAAAATGCTGTCATTTAATACAATATTTTTATAATATATTTTAACTTTTTTTTTACAATGGCTTAAAATAAAAAAATTACTTTAATTTTAGCAAATTTTTAAAAAAAATTATTATTAAGGCTTTGTTGAATTTTAGAAAATAGTGGAAATTTATCGAATTCTTCAAATTCATTTTAAAAATATATTCAGGTAATATTTTAGTATTTTAAGTGGCACATTTGAAAACAATTGTTTTGATTCTAGGGATTTGATTTTTATTTTTTCTAAATTTTTTTTGTTGATATTTTCTAGTTAATATATAATAATTAGTAAAGGCTGCAATTTTAATAATGGCGAAATATTTATTAGTAAAGGCGAAATATTTCTAGTAAAGGCTGCAATTTTTTTTATAATAAAATTATATTATTTTTGTATTTAAATTTTAACAAAACACTTGCATTAGAAAATGCTTGAATTTTTGGAATTTGAAAGATTGTTAGTTTCTATTGCGGTTTTGTGGAATTTTAAAAAATCAAAGAATAAATTTTCTTGAATTAAATTTCTTATAAAAAATATGTAGTCTTATTTTAAAATAGTGCGTTGGAAGATTTTTGATTGTATGTACTTTTTTTTTCATTTCTGTTTATTTTTCCCAAAATTATGTTTTATAAACTAAATAAAAAATTTAAAAAAATAATAATAATAATAGCAAAGATTTTGTCACATTATGGATTATGTTAATTGTTGAGTTGTAAAGTAAGACTGAAAACTTTTGTCAAAAAAAATTTATATTGATTTCATTATTATTCTTTTATAGAATATTTCTGTTATGGATGCTCTTACTGATTGTCCAGGATATTGCCAGGTAGTATCAAAGCCCAACACTAAAAGCGCTGTCTGGATTTATTTCGGTTTACCAGCTGATGATAAAGGCCGGATTTTAAACCAAAATATTGTTGTATGTAAATTATGCTCAAAAACTGTTGGATCAAAAAGTGGGGGTACAAGTAACCTGACAAGTCATCTAAAGCATCATCATCCTTTAAAATTTAGGGAATTGAACACTTCAAGCAAACAATTGACAAGAAGTACTATACCTGCCATTGATGTTGATGATCCTTCAGCTCCAGTTGATGCTGAGCAGAACCCAAGTGAAAGTGTGAAAAAGCGGCAAAAAACTATGTTAGATTTTCAACCGCTGGACAATAAATCGTCTAAAAATTGCACCGAAGCTGTGGCAAAATTTATTGCAACATCAATGCAGCCGTTTGCCACAGTGGAAAATCCGAAGTTCATCGAAATGGTGAGGGTTTTGAACCCAAAATATAAGCTGCCTGGAAGAAAACACTTTTCAACTGTAGCTATCCCGAAATTATATAATGATACGGTTGAAAAGATAAAGGCTGAAATATCTTCCATACAGAGTTGTGATATCGCAATCACTACTGACTGTTGGACATCGATAACCAATACTCCTTTTCTAGCAGTGACTGCTCATTTTATTTCTAATGAATGGCAACTTCTAAGTGCGTGTTTGAACTGCAAACATTTCATAGAGGACCATACATCAGAAAATTTAATTGAAATGTTAAGTAATACTTTAAAAGATTGGAATATTGATGTTAAAACATTGCCCTCAATAACATCTGATAATGGCACTAACATTGTTAAGGCTATCAGAGATCTGAAGGTAAACCAGATTTCATGCTTTGCCCACAATATAAACATTGGTGTCAACCAATCTTTACAACAGTCTTCCTTGAAGACAGCGATTTCTCGCTTGAAAAAGCTACAGAACACGATTTCTCATTCATGGAAGATGAAAAGAGATTTACAGAGAGCTCAAGAGCAATTGAGTATGAATGTTGAAAGCTTGCCGAGTGCATGCCCAACACGTTGGTGGAGCACAACAAAACTTTGCAGGCGATTTTTGTCCAATCAGCTTCCTCTCTGCAAAGTTTTGCTGGATTATCCCTCCAGAAAACACTTAATGCTTGAGGGATCTGACATTAATGTTCTTCAAGATTTTGTAAGTGTCACGAATTTGCTTGAAGAAATGACGAAATCTTTAAGTGGAAGCAACTATATTACAGCTTCCTGCGTTCTGCCGATGTTAAATAAAGTTAAAAAAAATCTTCAAGTTAATGACAGTGACTCTGAAGTTAGTAGGAGTATAAAACAAGAAATTCTGGGGGCTCTGGAGGCTAAATACAAAGATTCATCAATGGCATTGATTTTGGGTCTTTGTTCATTATGTGATCCGAGATTCAAAGTGAAATATCTAGAAAATGTGTCTGCAGTTAAAAGTAGAGCAATTGAACTTATGGCTGAATCATATACTATGCAAGATGACCTACAAATGAGTGTTCCTTCTTCATCCAGTACTCAAACAGAAAGAATAGGACTTGCTAAGTTTTTTGACTCAGATGAAGAAAAGGACTTAAATGCTAGGGATTGCACACCAATAGCAAAAGCTGAGAGGGAGATGAATGAGTATTTGAATATTTCGAAAATAAGCATTTCGGAATGCCCATTAATGTGGTGGAAAAGACATTATGCCTCTTTTCCGAAATTGCAGTTAATTGCGAGGCGCTTCCTTGCAATACCAGGGACAAGTGTACCATCTGAAAGTGTATTCAGTGTAGCAGGCAATGTTATTACTAAAGATCGTGCATCTTTATTGCCTGACAAAGCTGAGATGCAGATCTTTCTAAGTAAAAATTCCAATTATGTTTAATTGTGTTGCAAAATTTTGAGAAATAGTGTTGTGACGTTTATAATTGTGTTGATATTTATAATTGTTGATGTTTATAATTGTGTTGATGTTTATAACTGTGTTGATGTTTATAATTGTGCTGATGTTTATAGTAGTAATTGATGTTTATATTAATAAAATTTTTCTGTTTTAAAATAATGATGCTTCATAATTAGTTGATTCTGTAGGATAATTATGCTGCGAGCTAATACTATAGGATAAGTACCCCATTTTTTTTAAATGATGCTCTTTAAACAAATTAATTTTTAATAGCAAAAAAGTCTTAGCATTTATAATATACATAACAATTTAATTACCGCGGTATATCGTAATATCGTGATATGAAGCACACAATATACCACAATATCGAAATTCTGACATTGCCCAGCCCTAGTATGTATATTACACATTAAAACAAAACATTGGAAATGGAAAATTTCAAAACTAAACTTTCTTTGTAATAGTTTACCAAGTAGTTTTGTCAACCAATTTTGTCAGCTTTTGGCCAAATTTAAATTTTAAGTTTCACTTTTTGAGCTTTACACTGTCCAAATGTCTAAGCCGCAACCATCACTTAGATTCATTGATGCAAAACATCTTCAATCTAATAATTTGGAAGAATGGCTGTTATTTCTGAATATGGACAAGGACAGAATTTGGTTTTGCACTGACTATGGATTAAAAAAAATTCGGTTTTATAATTAAAAAATCTTTGTTATTGTGGTGTAGGGTCCAGCCAAGAGCAACATGGCCTATAGCTTTTGTTGTATCCCACATCCTATAACGAAGCATGGCACTTTTTTCATTTAAAGGGATGTAGTATTGTTGGCTGCTGATACATTACAAAGCTATATATTTTTCATTATTTATATCCTTTCGTTTTAATAATCTAATTTGTTTTAATATCTGCTCTAATTTTCATTGGCAGCTTTTGACCATGTTTATTCGAGTAAAATGGCTTTTTATACTTTTTAAAAAATTTCTAAATACTAATTAATTATACACACACACACATACATATGTATAAAGACACAATAGAAAGACAATAAAGAAGGGAAGAGAATTTAAGATTGATGCATTAAGAATGACCTTTAAAAATATATTACACTACCCTCTATTTACACTTTAACTTCGTTATCTAACAACTTAGCTAAGGAAATATTTTAAAAAAATTTTTACTAAATGTGAGAAATATATGATGCTTGTTTTCACTTCTTGCTATACAGGCTCTTATTTCGGTCTTTAAATATTTGCTGTGTCATGTTATAATTCTGAATCGTTTTTTTCTTTGATGCTCCTATCATTAGTGTATAGATATATTTTGCTTTGGTGATATTAAGGTAATATTTACAAACTATTAGATAGATAAAATATACATAAATATAAAAAATTAATATGTATATATACATAAAGGTAAAAATAGATAATACATAAATATAAAAATAGATAAAATATACTATTTTTGTGTTTATAATTCTGAGAGCTGATGACATGATTATACCTTTTCATTGTTTTATTTTCTAACTTTTATAAATTTGTAATTTTTTTTTTAATTTAAAGAAAGAAAAAATTTCGAATTTTTTTTTCTTTATTTTTTAACAAAAAATTTCTTTCTTTTTTATTTTTATATCCTTGTTTTCTTTACATTTTTATTTTATATATATATGCACATGCAGTAGTAATCTATAAAAGGCAATTCTACAGATTGCAGTTTTCCATAACCCACAATAACTTTGTAAGTGTTAACAATGGAAATTACAGATGTACTATGAGTTACAAAATAAACTCTGTGCATCTGATTGCCACAAAAAAATGAGCGAAAGTTTAGGTTTCCGCAGAAAAAAAGTTTGAAGTTCTGCCATTGAAGATAAACGATATTCTGACCTTCCTTTGAGGTTGATTGTGACCAGTAAAAGCAAATCGTTGATCAAGACAAAAATGTTTCAACACAAACTATTGTGTTAGAGCTTGACATTTCCCAAAAAACAAGCGTTAATGCACTCAAACATAAAAATCTAATGTTTAAGTTTATTCGCTGGATGCCTCATGAATTGACAGCTGAAGAAAAAAGCAGCCTGCCTAGCTCGGCTCAGAGATCAAAGAATTGTGACCTGTGATGAAAAATGGGTGCACTACAGCAATACAAGTCATAAAGGAGGCTGGTCAGCACCCAGGGAATCAGCAGGTTCAGTTGCAAGAAGAACGCTAACAAGAAGGTCCTTCTCTATATCTGGTGGGAATGTCATGGAATTATCTTTCAGGAGGACCTGATAGCAGGCAGGCTATCAACAGTACAATGTACTGCAATATGCTAATCAAAGTTAGCTATGCCTTCTGTGAAAAACGAGTTCAGAATGAAGGTGGTTCTCCTTCATCAAAATAACATGAAAAAATATTGAAATTATAAAATGAAAAAAATTTGATGCAAACTATTTGCAATATATAAAATATCCCACATGGAGAGATTTCTAGAATTCTTTTTAATGAATAAAGGGAAATAAAACAAAAATCGTACATCCGATTAATAACTATAAAGTAAAAGTTGCAATGTTTTCCTAATGCAATTAACATTAAACAGACTTTTATTTTTTCATTATGTTTATCATATTCACCAATTTAAAATTTTGAATTGTAACATAAATTAAATTCATTTTCAATAGATTTAACATTTTTTTTCTTGAATAAAATATAAGGATATTTACATAATATAATAATTTTCTTGATTATTATATTTTCTAAAGAACATAATATTTTCTTGAATGAAATATGAGAGACTAGAAGTAAATTCAGAATGACAAAAAAAAATTATAAAAATAAAAAAATAAATTAAATTTTTAAAAAAAGTTTTATAATAAAAACACTCACTTTATAATTCAGAAGTAATACATGTAACTCATTTTGTCTCTCAAATTTCATAATTAAGTAATTTTAATAAAATTCTTAAAAGATAATATTAAAAGATAAGATAATAAATTCTTTTAAAGCATATATAACTTATTTTATGAAAATTCTAAAATTAAATTTTGTGAATATAAGTGATGAATATATTCATAATAAAAAAAGAGAATTTAAAGAGAAAAAAAACTAATACTTTTGTTTAAGCATAATTAAAAATATTGCTATTAAAATCATTTGCATGAATTTATATATCATTTTGGTACTTAAAAATACTTTTTTTAGTTATTTCGACAGACAAAAATACACTAAGTCAAAAAGAATAGCAAATAATAGATTTATCATAAAATGATCAAACATGTTCTTCATAAAATGCTAAAAGAGACTGGAAGTTTCAAAAGGCTAAATCAGCCCTCACAAAAAACTTTTACGTAAAATGACAGCCATGTAGTTGAAACAATAAATTTTGCAAATACTCTTTTTTCACTATAGATACATATCATGTTTAAGATGTACTTTCCAATTATGTTTCAAAATATAATTATCTTTATCTACAAGTCAGCATAACAGTTCAGTTTGTTTAGTTTGGCAATTTATATTTCAGTTTTAAAATCTAAATAGATGAATATGCACAAATTAAGTATCAACGCAACTACCTACTTTCAAGATTCATTTGGGTAACACTAGTCCTGTTAAGTAGATAACTTATTTTCAATTGAAATCTAGTTTAATTCGATTAATGATTTGTTTTAAACAAAGTACTACGAAAAAACTACCTAAAAATACAATAACAACCAGAAAGAAAATTTTGTTCATTAAATCAAGGTGTTTCTACAATGGTGTTAGCCGAAATTATCAATAACAAAAATTACAATAAACAAAAATGCACTAGAATAAACTTAAAATTAATTACTTTCCCTGTTTTCTATTTATAAAAATAAAATGTCTGAGTTCTATTATTTAAGCTAATGCCTTGTCTCAGAAAACTGTTTGGCATACAAAGATAATCGTGGCATTAAATACAATTTGCTAACATTATTAATGACAAAAGTAACTTTTTGTGAAGCACAAAACCTCTGATAAAAACCTCATTCACGTCTTCTTTCTTTAAAAAAAAAAAAAAAAAAAGATTTTATTTTTCATAGAAAGAACCTCTACTTTTAATTTACCCATTATTAAAATTTTGTAGCGATAAAATAAAGAGCATAAGACATTTGTATAGGAAAATACATGCAGATAAGTGAGCAACAAAAGCAATGGGATGTAGAATTTATTCTCAAGTTATTGAAGATACTATTTCTAATTCATTCATTGCTGTACTATAACTCCTTGATTCATGATAATACAGATGAAAAACTTCACATTGTAAATCTTTATAGCTTATATACAAGCATTTTTTTTTAACAAGCTGAAAAAAGGGGATTATGCTTCTTAAGAAAAGAAAATTTGCACGCAAAAAAAACTTTTTTTTGACAAGACAACTTGAACAAAGTTATTTTTCATAACATTATAAAAACTTCCTTATTAACAACACTAGAAAGACTGAAACTTAGTATATACCTATATTGCCCAAAAGCAGTCCTAATAACTGGATTGTGAAAGAATAACTAATGTGTAAAGAAATTTGTTTAAATGTAATTTTTAATATTTTTTATATTATTTACCATTATATAACAAGTTATTAGTAAATATTAACAATAAAAAATTATATGTTGTGCAAAAAGTCAGAAAATTGTAATAAATTGTGTCATTATATACGTCATTGTTTTTCTAATTGAAATTAAAAAGCAGTCAAAATAACTTCCTTGGCATTCTAGAGTTAAATCTGATTTATACCTGTAAAATAGAGCTATCAAAATTAAATGACTCATTTTTCCTAAATTCTCGCATTTAACTCAGGATCGGGTTAAATTAAAGCTCGCAGTACAAGTTGACTGTACAAGTTTTCTTTTCAAATTGAATAAAAACTTTTTTATTAACTAGTGTCACAGTTATTTTTGAATTAATACTGTAATCAATATTCAGCTAGCTTAAAGGAAATAAAATTCACACTTTAATTGCATGGCTGTCATTTTTCAAATTTGCCTTTCCCACTAGATGTGCAATATGTTTCAAAGTAAAGCATAAAAAGTAAAAGGAAGTTCTAAGCAACAGAGTACCCAATTTCAAAATTAAAGGTAATACCAAGGTGTAAAAAAAAAAGTTTTTCCTCCGGAAAATATTTTTACAATTGGTTATCAAATAGTATTTATTAACATTATAAAATCTTAAAATATATGAACTGCTTCTAAAGATAGGTAATTATACTATCTATGCTAAAATAATATTTTTAAAAAGTTTTAAAAAAAATTTTTCTTTGCTTTTTCAAAATTAGATTATTTATATTCAATTTAGTAAGAAATTCTAATTACTTTTCAAAAAAGTACTTTATGATAGTAAATTATTTTGGAGATATTTCAATTTTCAAAGAGAAATGCATCCTAATTTATTTTTAAATTTTCCACAACTTAAAAGGTATTGGTATAAAATAATATGCCCCAGCCTTTATCTTTTTAAAACTTATAAACCATTTTTGTTGAATATTTTATATAATTTTTTAATTTCATATTAAAACAATACTCACTCTCAACTGCACTAAAATTATTCTCAAAAATTTATAGTAGATAATAAAAAAATTTTTAAAATTTTAATTTTGAAATTGGATACTTTTTCACTGGACAACCTGTATGAGATATTTTTGTTTAAATTTTTAAAATTCACATTTACTGTTCAAATTAATTAGCCTCCCCTTCATATAAATCCGATAGCCCCTAATAATCTTTAATTGCATTTTATTGTAATGTTGCTTCTTATAACTTCAAATCTCTTTGAATTAGATGTCTTTATCAGCAGATTTCTACCTGAGGCAAAGTAGGAGATGTGGGTGTCGCAGATTCATAGCCAAATGGTTGAGAATTTTTGTTGTGAGGAGACGGCTGCTGAGGGTACACTCCAAATTGCGGCGTCTGCTGGGGATAAGTTTCAAGTGAGAGGGCGTTGGTATCCATAGTCAAACCCTAATGAGTTGCATCAAAGCAGAAAAAAAAAGATAGAAACAGAATGAAAAGCAACTACAGAGAACCAACTAAAAATTTGCAAAAAAAATGAAAAGGAAATTAACACTGGTGATTAAACACTTAAAAGCTACACCTGTGTACATCTAGTAGCTTTGATCTACGATCTTAGTAGTTTTGATATTTTTTCAAAAAGGATATAAGTGACATAATATTTCTCCTCTAAAACAAGTAAATTTTGACAAAATTAACATAACTGTGAAATAATGCTTTCTTTAAACTAAATAATTTTCACAATGGCTGAGATATTATAGCTGAGCTTATTTCAAAAAATAAATAAATAATTATAATAAAAGTGAGGAATTAAAATTATTTCATGATTGCAGTTACAAGTGTTAACTAACACAGGGATGAGATTAGCAAAAAGGCAAAAAAGCTGAATTTCCACGATAGTAAATTTTACGCAAGCGCAACCCTATAATAATAAATTCCAGACAGTTTAAGGTAATAAATAACGTGTTGACATACAATTGTGTACTAATCTATTATTATATAAATGATTACATTGATACTTAACATTTAGTGAAAATAAAAATTACCAATTGAAAAAATAAAGCTGGAAATTATATTTTTCCTCAGTTCAAATAAGAGACAATTATTACTTGAAAAACTACCTGGTTTAGCAAATTAAAACTACTGAGAATATACATTAATATTTCATTTCTTTTAATAAATACTGTTATGTGATTTATAGCAAATATATCAGTAATATTACTTTTTAAATTATATGGGAAAAAAAAACTTTAACAATGGACCGAATCATTATGTTCATATTATAGTCTAATCTAACTAGAGCCCTTTGAAACATATCAATAACAGTGAAGTAGAAATATATAGTAACTCCTTAACATACAAAAATTGCTATTTTAGTTTGAAAAATTACATGACAATCAGCAACTGTTTAGATAATTGTTTTTTATTTGATAAGAATTTTGCATTTTATAGCATAAATAACAGCAATTATAAATAAAATTTTGATGATGAGTTAATTAACTCTTTTTCCCCCCAAATTTTTTTTTAATTAAATCCCTTTTTAAGTGATTGCTTTTGTTTGCTATATCTTTTATGTTTGCTATATTTAGTCGTTAGTCCATCTTCAAACATCTTGTGACAAATCCTATTTTTTCTTCTTTGCAAGCACAGAATGTAAGTTTTGAATATATTCCCTTCCAGTTTCTCTGATGTTGTAAAACTTACATATACTAATAATCGTCGTGAGAAAAACAGTCACCTTTATAGTAACTAATTAAATAAAAAATTTACTTCTTACAAGAATCACGATAGTTGGTCTTAAAATTGCGTGAATATGAATAACAATTATGGATTTTGAAATCACATGAATATGAAACTAGATATGCGATTTTGAAAATGAGAAAGTACAAACTGGGATATCGAATTTTTAAAACGCGTAAATACAAATATGAAAAGCTATGTTTGATATTAAAATCGTGTGAATAAGAATCGAGATATTAGCAGATTCCAGGCTCGGGACCTCTAAAAGGCTTGTCAGAAGCAGCATCGTTTGAACTACAAAAATCGGATCGATCTGGAGGGCGGGTAAAAAATTCGGAAAATTTTATCAGCTGCGTGAAAAGGGGGAGAAAATAGCTAAAATAAGTAAAAATGAGAAAGGATTGGTAGCTATGTAGTTTCTGTAATTTTCTGTTTCTCTTTGAAAATCGGTGAATTTTCTGAAAAAGCGGAATACTTATAAAAAAAAGTGAAATTTTTAGAAAATCTGAATTTTTGATTTAAAAAACTGAAATTCAAGAGAAAAAAGTGAAAAAAGCGGAAATCCGCTAAAAAGCGGAAAAATCTCATCCCTGCTAACAAAAAAAAATTTCCTTATTGAAGACCCAAACATCAAAAATAATACTTTGCAAAAATAAAGCAATAAATTCTACTAGAATTTTATTTTTTTTAAAAAAGGGGGGAGTGTTATTTTAGTGAAAAATTAATTTAATTAATCAAATTAATTTAAAACCAATTTAAACTGTCTAAAATAATTCAAAAATTGATCATAATATACGATTAATCCTGCACTTTATCGTGATCCTTACATGTTCCAAATACACAACATACATTACTAGTCAATTTTAATATATTAATATTATTATTTATGTGGCGTATCATAAAATTTTTCTCAGTATGAAAATTTGCCTCAACGCTATTTTTGCCAACTTATGAAAACAAAATATTTTTTTAATATGACCCCAGTTCTCCATCAATCATTGTTTTTAAACTACAGTAAAAGTTTTTCAATACTTTTATGGCAGGGAATTTCATTTGGATGAGGAAAAATGATTGTTTCAACAGTTAAATTTCTTTGAACTGCTAAAAAAGTGATAAGTTCTAAAACAAAACCTTTGGTAAGAAAAAAAAATGTTGGAAACTTGCTCCTAAATTTGTTAAAAAAAAATTTTCGTAGTTGCAATTTTTCACATATTTTCTACATATTCTAGCTACTTTCTTTTTTTTTCTATTCTTAAGTAAGCAGCATTGTCAGCTAAAAGCAGATGGGGGGCGAAAATGTCTTAAACTAGTGCAAGAAAATTTGGAAAATTCGGAATGCAACGATATTGCAATGTAGCAAGTGTATTTTAGTAAATAATTAAGAGTCCAGTAGCAGAATTAGTGCGTCATGGTACAAGAAGCTACAGACTAATTTTAGCCTGGCAGCAAAAGTTTAATGTTGTTTTTCAGTTCAATGGTGTTTGGTTAATTTTTTTACACTATTTTTAATGTCAACTTATTTCAATAAACTAAAAATGATTGAAATCAAGAATATATTGCAATGAAGGAAGCTGCACTGTAGAGACACTTTTTATAAATAAAAAAACATTGATTGGAAACATCAAAATCACAACAAAGCAGAAAGAAATAGTAGAAACTGTCAATGATCGTTTTCCCCAACTTTTCACATAATTCCAGTAAGTCACATTTTTTTGCTTGTCCCAAGAAAACCATAATTAAGAATACATGTAACACAATTCCTTTAAAGTAAAGTATAAGTCCGATTCTAATTAAAAACCAATGCCACCAATTAAAAAACATATATTAGCTGTAACAAATAAAGCTAAAAAGACACTTTTTATAAAAAAAAAATATTTGAAACATCAACCACACAACAACAAAGCAGAGAGAAATAGCAATACCTGCAACGGTTTCGTATACACTTTAAAGAAAGTAATACCCACAGCGAGTTAGTATACACCTTAAAAATACAAAAAGCTTAGCTCAACGAAAAATCTACTCTCCGGCATTCCAAAAATTGTCTCGTTTTTTGTTTTTTTTCTTAATCTCGCTTACCTCGTAGTGTTTTTCAATTCATGCTTGCGTTAACTAAATATTTTTAGGTCTCAATGATTTTCCGACCTAATTATGTTACAGAATTTTTTTCTTTTTTGAATTAATACATACTTTCTTTTATATTTGTGAATATATAAATTAGAAGTTTCAATTTAACTCAAATTCAAAGTTTTAGCATTACAACCATTGAGGTGAAATACACGAGTGTGTACATCACAATAATTTTTGTTCTTATAATGAAACAATGTGACTATTAGTCAAATGGAGAGAGAACATTTTCAACCTTTATATCTTCTTGTTATTGCAAACGAAGATAATGAATGCTGGAATATTAAAGCCAAAAATCTCTAAATATGGTAGGTTACAGTACCACATTTGTTTGCACCCCAAAATTTCTTAAAGGAGGGCTTCATACATTTCACAAGTAAGTTAATTTATCACTTGTTGGAATTAAAATTGTTTTATTTATTTATTATGTATTTTAAAAATGTTTTTTTCCTTAGAACATCGTATTAATCCTGATTATTCCAGTTCATTCATTCTAAAATTCCTAATTATACTTTCAAAGCTATCTTATAAGCAAATATAAACAAATAAGAACACAACTATACCATTAAACAATGACTACATAGCATTATTCATTATTAAAAGAAAATAATAACTCGAATTAGGTGCTAAAATGCTGTAGGTAAAGTTTTGGATACATTGTTTCTTTCCTTTTCGTTTATTAAAAATTATATATTTTTTCTCTAATGTTTTTGAAAGAACCAGTTTTGTTTTCACCATATGCTATATATTTTTTTAATTTCAGTAGTTAACTTTGGGTTAGTTTTCTCAATACACTATTTGCTCATACAAAAGAGGGTTTATGAAGGATTAATAAGAAACAATTCGATAAATAGTTCAAAGATTCTTAACACTAAATTATCAGTTCTTCAATAATATCATCAGGTCATTTCAATTAAAATTGCCAAATCTTTTTAATTGCGATTAGGAAAACAAAAATCTAGAATACTATCAGAAGTAATAAAGTTATGTAACTTTACTATAGCAATTGTAAAGTTAAAATAAAATCGGCAAGTTAAAAAGAAGGAAGCAGATTTTTTAAAGGAGATTGATGGATTTTTTAAGAATGTTTTCAAAAACTTCTAATACCTGAAAAGATATCTATGATTTTACAAGATGTGGTACTATTGTAAAATCTGTGTTAGATTGAAATTTAAATGAGTTTTTTTTTTTTTAAATACTTCAAAATCTAAAAATCAATAAAAAAAATTACTATAAATGACTGTTACAAAACAACTATCAATGATTTTGAAAACTTCTGAATATAATTATAATATATTTTATAAAAAAGAAACACTTTACCATTTTTAAAGCCATTCGAAAATCAAAATTTTCTTCATTTTATACAGTTTATACATATTTAAAAATTGGAATTTTTAAATAATTTTCAATTTAGCAAAGTCTTGTGGAAAAATTATCAAAAACTTCACTGTCCTGCTAATTTTAATACTCTTGAAGCTTTCAGCTTTCTTCCATTGCCTTTATAAGTACAAAATCCGAATCTACCAAAAAAGAGACTTCATCAACTTTGACACAACACCCTTCTTTCTACACCGAAATTGCCAAAT